TATTGCAGGGGCAGATCTAGCTTTCAGGAGATGGGGGGAGGGTTGACATTTGAGTGAAGGTGTGCCGAGGCCATGCGGCGCTAGGGTGGTCCGGGGGCATGCTACCTCCCACCTGGAAATTTCAGGCAGCTGTGTGGTCACAGGGGAAATCCCCTATTTCTGTCTGCAGACCGACTTTTACTAGTACTACTCCCCATTTTATTGGTATCATAACATTAGTCAGTGGCTGAAACAGGGGGGTTGCACCCCCCAACCCACCTTGAGATCCGCCACTGACACTGTGACTGTATTGTAGGCCTATTGTAACTGTAAGGTGTTTGTGTCAAAATACTAAATAGTGTATTGCCTATTGCCTATCGAGTATTGGAATACAACTTCTGTTCACAATAGTAGTTAGATACAATAATGTAACCCAAACCCAAGAGGATAGGCTATCCCCTATCCTCTTGGGTTTGGGTTACATTATTGTATCTAAATAGTAGTGTGTTTGACTCTTGTCTTGAGTATATGATACGGATAGTAAAACGTCACAAAAAGCAAAAAATATAGTAATAATAGTACTACCACTAGTACCAGACTTCCAGTAACAGCCTTACGCCGTACGTACGTAGTTACGGCTTACCATAGATACTAACCCAAGGGGATTGCTAACTCGCCGCATACAGGCGAAGTGACCGGTGGCGCGNTGAAGGGTTGGTTGGCGACCTCCCTCGACACCCCATATACAGCTCCCACCACGCGCCCTCCCCGCAACCGCCCACCTCCCCCCCCCCTCTGCACCTCACTCACATTGGCGTCCAACAACACTTGTCACTGTGCAGTCTCCTTAGGACATCCAAACCGGACAAACAGTGGTCTGACCAGTGTCTTAGCACCGTGGGTAGCCTATCTGCGGTCCTTGACGGCTATGAGCTGCGTGTACTTGGTGAACACGATCTGTCATACCACAGTACGTCCTCCTACCTCCTAGACCAGGCTCCAACATGTAAAACTTCAATCGCCGACTACTTCCTGTGTTGACTGCGATCAGGCTCCCATGGCTGTTTGGGGCTCGCCTGTCCCAGCTTTGCCAAGTGCAACGTTGGCACTTCTGACGATGCCTGCTCGGATCCCTCTCTAGCCATGTTTTGGTCAAAGCAATCTTGGCCCTCGCGAGACGTAGGGTCTCTCTATGCCTGCGTGCCCAGCTGAGTCATCGTTACGCCTTTAGTACTGATGCGTTTCAGGGCACCGAGAGCCGAGCACTGCCTGCACGATTCTGATCCGCATTTCCACCAACTACTCGTGAAGTACGTTGTTCTACGGACTCAAAAGCGACCCAGTCGCCGCAAGCACGCCTTCGGACCTACCGTGTGGTTCCTGCTTCAGTTCTCGGACTCCTCACAGGGGCCTGCTCTCCTTATCCACCAGTGCCAGATCCTCCTTAAGTATTGGTCACCTCCGTTGCAGCTTGCTTCAGCTCCGGTCTGGGTATTTCCAGGCAACTGATGCCGTAGGCAGCAGGGCACCGGTCTGTCTGGACCGGGTTGTGCTGATCTCACTGCATCCATGGGGCGCTTACACAGTTGATCAACGGCCTCCCTTCAGGTCTCTGCTTGGTAGGTTGGTAGCTGGGCGAGATGCCGATCCAAGACTGGCAGACGATCTGGTCCGCTGCAATTCTGTGTCAAAGCTGTGAGCTAGCTGCTCTGCCTGATCCTTCCTAGTCATCCCGCCCCAGTCCTCCCTCCGGTATGGATCTGGTTCTGCTACCAATAGCGCGCTGGCTTGGTACCTCAAACGTGAAGTGAAAGGAAGCCACTACTGGCTGGCCCATTCGCATTTCAGTGGCGTTCAGCTCTGCCGTATGTTTGCCAGGTAAGCACAAAGGGTTGCTTACTTCAGTGTATTACCTTGTAACCGGCACACCAGTAGGAGCATGTCCCTGAACTTTTTCTGGTAATGGCCACTTTAAGGCCAGCAGTGTCAAGCTCTTGCTGCTGTAGTTGATCTATGTTCCGCTCCTGCCTCCCGCAGCCCCCGACTCGCATAGCGAATATGACAGTACAGTTTTCTCTCAACTTCCTGGCATAGCACTGCACCCAAACCTTTGTGAGGCTTGGCATCGGCTCTCACACAATGATGATGGACCTGCGAGAAGTCAGGTGCCCCAGAATGGGAGCAGAGATTAGGCAAACCTCTTCAGTTCTTCAAAGGCCACCTGGCAGTTTCCAGTCCAGTCCACAGTGATAGTCGCTTGAGGATTCCTCCTTTTCTGTTAGATTTGCTGGTACGTCCTATCAGCGGCAATGCAGTGGTGCAGCCAACTGGGGAGAAGCCTTTTCATAACTGGCAGCGTTAGTAACGCCGAACAGGCCAAGGAACGCCCGAGCTTGACGTTTCTGTCCGCGCGGACCTTCCACTCCTTGCATCACTCTACTTCTCTGGGTCAGGGCGAATACCCTCGCAGAACCATGTGGCCTAAAGTACCTGATGTGTTTCTTGGCCACACCTACAATTTCTCTGGCTTCACCTTGAGATTATGCTTGGCCGAGATCGTTCTAACACCATATCCAGACGTTCGATCCATTGGTCGAAGACTGATACGAATACCAAAAAGGTACAATCCAGATAATTGATCAGTGTATTGCGAAATTCTGATCTCCGAAAATAATGCGTCCATCAGCCGCCATCAAAAGTCCCTGAGACCATTGCACAAACCCATCGCATGCCGACAGAATTCATATAGGCCGCACCCTGTGGCCAGTTGTCTGAAGGCGGTCTTGTTCCGGTCCTCCTCAGCCACTGGTAGCCTGCGTAGAAGCCGTGAGGCACGGTCTAGGCTGCAGAAGTACTTCCACCTCTTCAGAAAGCCTGCGGCATCACTCGACTGCGGGTAAGGGGTAAGCATCCGGGTTGTCTTGAGCGTGTCAGCGCCCTGTAATCCTCGCAGACCGACCTTCTGCCTGATGGTTTCGTCACGGCAACACCACTGGGAGATGCGTAAGGACTGTTATGGGATTCACGGGTACATGTCCCTCTTCCAATGCGAACTTGATAAAGTTCTATGCCACTTCTGTCATTGGTTTGGCGGAACACTTCCTGTGGCCACTCCTCACTGGCCTTATACTATCCTTGAGGTGTTGGATCCTGGTGGGTGACCTAGGTCACAGTAACCTTATTCAGTTCATCGTCTCGGCACTGAACACATTGCTGGTGCTTCCTGATTTAGGGCGTTCATTACCTCGTGCTGATCTGTTGTGAGTCGCCTCGCCTATGTACCCTCTCGGTTGATCAGGTCATGCGGTACGTTCATTGGCCTGCCTTACACTCAACCTCTATCTATCCGCACCTCAATGAAAGACTCACGGAATGGATCCTTAGCTGGGGGTTCAGCTGTGACCGTTTCCACGAGTGCCACAGGCGTCTCGTGATCAGATAGAGGTCGCCTGCCACTCCATTGGTCACCTGTATCGGGATCGTTCCTGTCTAGACGGCCTTAGCCTGGTAGCAAGTCCTGCTCCACAGCGAGCCTGTATGGAAGGGCTGGTGGCATTTCCTCCTGGTGCTCTACCATTAACGTAGGTGCTCTCTATAGCCGCCCATGCAGCGTGCCCTCCAGTATCTTCACTGACCGGGGCTGGTATCAGCTGCTTGGCCCCTTCTACAGCCTTACCCTTACCCTGCAGGTGCTTGGTTCAGCCGTGGTCAGGCTTCTTTGCTTCAGTTTTGGATGCTCCATATAAGGCAAGGACATGAGCCCAGTGGTCCCATCTACTCGCTGGGAGTCTGTCAAATCTCTTAGGATGGTCTCGCCCGCACTTCTCCTTGAGCAGCTGTCCGGCATCTCTTCGCAGGATGTTAGCTTCCAATTACCCCGGAACTAACTCGCTTCGGATTCTCCATTGGGGGTCGCCTTTTGGGTCACACACTACCAGGAATCCATCCTGTGCGAAGGTATGCCGCAGATCTCAAGCGTCGCGCGTTCTATAGTAGCCTCGCGTAGGGACTTTCAAGCCCTGGGCACACCAGAAATAGGAGATGGAATCCGGACACATCCTTGTGCATGCTCCCGTTGCTACCAGTCACCATACGCGTACACACGGCAGAAGAAATGATTCCGTTACCTGTGGAACGAAGAGCACTGAGCATCCAGTTGGTCCAGCAACACTTTCATCTCCGCCACAGCTATCTTAACTAGGGCCTCGGCGGGCACTCTCCTACTTGCTTTGTTTTAAAAGTGAGCACGCCTGTCCGTTTTCCTACGGACTCACAGCCTGCCGCGCACAGCTCACTGGCAACACGGACGACTTTAGTTTTTCCGACAAATTTTGGCCGTGAGAAACCTGGGGTGGCCCCACCGGCCCATTCCCCTTACCGGGCAGTTCCTTTGATATATTGGCCCGGGGACTGGAACTCCAACAAGCACTGGGCTCTTGTCAGGCCCCATTACTGGCGCCGTGGGCCCCTGTTTGACAGCGGTCGACCCCACTCGCCTGTTGTCGCAGATATCCATCGATGAGCAGACATTGCTGCTGGGCGCTCTGCTTTAATACTTCAAGCTAATCTGGTCGCCCTTGTGCTTATGATAGCAGCCACCATGGGTCACACGCTCAGGAGGTGACCTCCTGGTCTATAGCGATCACGGTGACGGCCCTTGTCAGCGGCTGTGCCCAGCCACTGGTATGCCCGGTCCGCGCAACTCGAAAGTAAGTCAGGGCTGGGACTCGAGGTTATAGACGCCTTAATTCCGCGTTGCACAGCCTCTCGTGACTGCCTCTGCCAGCCTTGCCCTTCAGAGTGATGTTTCTGGATGCCTTCCTCATGATCCATCCATAGCGGTGACGCAGATTGTACAACGGGAACGCAGCTCCAGTGAGCAAGCCTAAGCAGGTCTTCGGCTGCGCTTTCTGCTGGCTATGAAAAGAATCGCTGCTGGCAGCTCGCAAGAGATTGGTGTCCGCATCTCCAAAAGTCGCCAACAGGGACTCTCGAAAGATATTTCTTCGAGCATCCTTGCGCTTACCCCTCGCCTACCACTCACCTCCATGCGGGCCCTGCCCCAGGTAGTTGGAGGACCACGCTGGCCGCTGTCCTCCTGGGTGCCTTTGATGGGTGCCCTAATTGAGGCCTGCATGTCCCCACCATTCATTTCAACCTCCGGGATGGCGCCAGGACTTCTCCGGACGGTCCCGGAATCCGTTAGTCCACCCGTCGGGAGGGAGCAGCATACCCCGGCCACGCTGGCAACACCAGCTTAAAAGTGTGGCCTTCCACACAATTTGGCCTCGCTAACGTCCTCCTCCAACATCCTCAGCCCGATCCTCCATTCCGGACGTCGCGTGAGAATGGACCACGCTAGAATCTTAGCGGACCCAAGGAGCAAGCCTGGGAGGCTTGTACTCGAGAAGCTTCCTCAGTCTACAGTCTACACCACTACAATCGCGCAATTTATTCATACAATACAAATGTGTACAAAGTGCATTATTGTTTTCGCCTAAATGCTACGTGGCTATCTGACTAGCTGGTCGCCATGCCATCCTGCAGAATGCTACATCCATATGCTATATCGGCATGCGAGTCCATGTGTCCCTGCAGAGCCTTCAGCGTCACGTATGCTGCGCCACAGATCGTGCAGATGTTCGCCTTATAGAGTCTTCTTGTTTCTCTCGTCTCCCTCAGGGGTTTGTTTATCTCCTCGGATCAATGGATGCCGTACTTGAAAATCCTGTCGACTGCGCCATTTGTGAGGTCCGGAAATAGACTCCAACAATCAAGTGCGGGGTAGAAGATTTATTTGTAAACAAACAAAAACCCTGGAACATACAAATACACATGCATGAGCGCATGGACAGCCTAACGCTTAAAACCACGCAACATGTACATACAATCGATTAACTGTTCCAATAGCTTAATGCTGATGGGGTACCGACCCCATTTAAACGTTGAGAATAATTAGAATTATAGACTATAGTTACAGAAATAACACCATATATTTATTACACTGTACATTATACAAAATACAAAACATTCTAACCAATAGCTACACAAGAGAGCATTGGCTCACATACCCTAGGGAGCCCAGTACATGATCGCGCTAGATCATGCCACCGTAGAAATGACCACACCAACTTCGCGGGCAACAACTGCCCTGGGTCACACGATAACCTAGGAATAACGTGAACATAATCAAACATTGTAAATGTCACCGGAATAACGTGAATATCATCGAAACAATAAGAATGCCATATGGACTAACAGTCACTAACTATATTAGTGATATTGAAAAGCATTGCTTGGCATAGATACAAAATGTAGTCACAACTTTATCACACTTTGTTATTAAATCTTGACGTTGAAACACATCATATCAGACTCTATCCATACTCCTGATGAAACGGAGCTCAAGAAAACTTACATTCACAATGTACATACGCATGATGCTGAATCATGCACATTTCTAGCCTATGCTATCTGCTCATCTTTGTCAACAAACTTTTACAAGAGATGATGTATTCAGGTCTTAGAAATATCTTTATCCTTATCTATGCACTTAATTCTACAGCTACAATTACCTACAGGCGGCATAATGCCTCTCACCTCGTAGATGTTGACCGATAGAAATTACTCATCAGCAGAATGCTTCCTTCTGCTTCCTATCTGATCCAGCATGGTGGCCTAGTGCTGCCATCTGTTCTCTGCAGTGCTGCCGTCTATCTTTTCTCTCATTTCGCCACTCGAGGGCAGCACCAAACAATCAACAACCCTGTGACAATTCGGCATGTCACAATAAAATATCAGATTTTTCCTCCTTCAGAAGCCAAGGGGTGTTCCCCTCCTGTTTAGGGGGGGGGAGGGACCGGTCGACCGTCCCCGGAAATTTGGTTGAAAATTACACCTCTTAGATGCCATTTCCTGCACTCTGAGGCAGCATTATTAAACAATCTTCATCATAATAATATCCCTGTTGAGTTGAGTATTTTTATCTTTGGGGACACCAAAGACGAATACTTAATTACTACTAAATCTGTGCTATGTATTTTTGATAAAACGTATATTTTACTGAGAACGCTAAAACTGTACAAAAACGGTATGAGAAAAACAACCAGATTTGAACCAAAAAGTGCATATTTTCACCCCTTATACAAAATCGGGAATATACTTCCGGTTGGGTCTCAGCACCCCATCCCTCCAAAAAGTGTGATCAAATAGAATTTTTCCCATTCAATCCCCGTGAAAATTCAATATCCCAACTCTCAATAGGTCTATTCTAATTTTGAATAAAGCAGGGATTTAACTTTCATGAGCAGTGATAAGACGTGATTTGAGGATTTTGAAAAAAAAATCGTATATGGGGAATGCGTCCAAAATTAACCGTCCGAGTTTCAGTAAAATAATATCATTCTTGGAACAAGTTACAGACATTTTACAGTAGATGTATGTTACTTTCCATTTGAGTAATAATACATTAGGAGAGTAGGAATAGCGATGACGGATTTGTAGATAAATGTTCAGTATGTGTGTAAAATATGGAATTTTTCCCCATTTTCCTCCTGAAAGTAGGGGGGGGAATGATTGTACACGCCATCCCCTACCTCAATAAGTGGGGGGAATATATCCCCCCATCCCCCCCACACGCTATTAATGCCCCTGATAACAAGTGATGAAGTAAGCGCAAATCTTGTGAACGCGAGTGATCCAACCATTTCCAGCAAGAAAGCGAGTGATAAGGATATAACCAACACGAGCGATAAGGCTATCAGGAGTGATAAAACCAACGCGAGTGATAAGGCTATCGGGAGTGATAAAACCAACGCGAGTGATAAGGCTATCGGGAGTGATAAAACCAACGC